TTCACTGCTGGGTGTTCAGAAAGCTGAGCAGCATCCCAGGGGCTGATGTTCTAGAATCAAAGAATCATGGAATTTCTCAGGTTGGAAAACACCTTGAAGGTCATGGAGTCCAACCACAAGCTAACCATACTACCCTAGGTAGCATCATAGTGTCTTGCAGATTTGTGTTGCAAGCAGCAATGCAAACCTCTTGATCTGACAAGTCACGGCTCAGGACAGCTTCTTTCAGAAGCCTTGGCAGCTGGATTTTGTTTTATCTTTTTTATCTTTTATTTCTTTTTTCTAAAAGTAATGGAAGATTTGTACACGATATGCCAGTTGCAGCAGCCAGGTCCTTGAGAGGGAAGCACCAGCTACCACTATGTGTGCAATAAAAGGCAAGAGGCTTAAAAACCTTGGCAATACCAGCAATTCTCCCTGCTTAGCTGGAGGAAGAGCTTTCCCTCGGGGCTGTTCAGATGTGGGACAGGCAGCGTTCTTACCACTCTGTACGGTAAGGTGGCTGAGGTTCAGAGGTATGGGAGGAACAGGAGTGTTTTCATTCCCCTTGTCCTGTGACCAACATCACCATGACCATTTTTCCAACAAAAGTGGTGTAGTAGGAACATAACAGGAGAGTTAGGAGTCTTCTTACTCCCTCCATCTTTTTTTCAATGCCTGGGATTTTACAAAACTCTAACTCTGAAACATATTAAGAGACTGAGCTGCTTACAAAACCGCCAGCTCCACAGGGTTTGCTTATCCCTGGTAATTATCACTTAATATTTGGCCCAGTGCAGCTATCTTTCAGTCTTATAAGGATAAATGTATTTGTTTCACTGCTATCTGAGCTCTTTCTCAACATAGGACTGAAACCTATAGTTTATTATTCCTGGACAGAGGCCTACACACACTATGTGTTACTTCTGTAGTTCCCTCAGTCAGTGAGAAATGTTTTAGTATTATTATCACTAAATATTTTGCCAGACGTTGTGGTCTTCCAGCTTTCACAAAGATAGGGAGGGAAAGGATGTGTGGCTGAAGTGCAGGCTTAAGAGATGGGAGACAGGAGGCCCTTTTTCCTTATCAGTGCCAAACTGCTCAGGGAGAAAATTCCCCTGGTAACGAGAAAGTCTGTAAGGCCCTTAACAAGCTACTATCTTCTTGTACTCATATTTCTCATCCCATCAACTGAAATGAAGCGTATCATTACCACAGGTGCATTTAGCAGTAGGACTCAGGTCTAAATAACCTGTGCAATACTACTGTTTCTTGAGCACAGCTTTCAGCATTTTTTCTTGGTGCTCTTGGAGCTGTATAGACCTAAGTCATATTTTTACAGCAGAAGTGAAAGCTTCTACTCTCTAGACTCCATGCTAAATCCATGATTTCATTGTGCTTAGTAGCTTCTTAGTCACTGTATTTTATTTTTCCTTGTTTACATGTATTTCGTTTCTAGAGTTGGTCTGGAACTATGTACAATGGAGCTTACATGCATAGGAGATCGATACCAATTCACTTAATAATGCTGTGAAAGATGCAAATTAAGAAGCAGATACATATCAGGCTGACATCTCCCACGGTTTCCAATGGTTTCCAGTGGAAATGATAAGCTCTAGATGCTTTAAGACCTACAAAATCTTTAATTTATGCAACATTGACAGTTTTATTATCTTCATATTACATTATTATATTAATATTAATATCACACCGTGTTAAACTAAAAGTATGGTGTCAGAGCTGGATGAGGCACAATATCAGGGCAAAATATATTTGGAAGAAGGAATAAGCTGATTTCAAACTTCTGAATTCTCTAGTGCCATCACACTGCTCTCCTGATTTGTCAGTCCCAAATCTTGCAGTAGAGTTTATGAGACTTTTCTTAACAGCTGCCTGAAAATACCACGTGTCAGTCACCTCCTATGAGAATACATGTCCATAATTTCTTAAGAAATGCTCCACTGTTCAAAGAGCAGGAAGCTCATAGGCAGCACCGGTGGCAAAAGAGCCAGAGGACACGTTTGCAAAGAGCTGGCTCAGCAGCCAGGGGCTCTAGCTCCCTCAGCTGCGGTCTTACCATGAAAGGAAGAGGGCTGAATTTGCACGACTCACCGAATTGCTGCTCTTCGTATCTCAGACGTTCTGTCAGACTGCCCTGCAGTCCTCTGACCTCAGCAGGAGCTGCTCATCTTCAGAACTCAAGCCTTTTAAGGTACAATTGAAGCGTACTGGTTTTAGAGCTGAACTCGGGGGAATTCCATTCTACTATATTGCCCATCCACCTGACCTCTGGGAGATGTAACTGGACCAGGAAAAGAGCAGAGCTCGCATTTTGGCAGAGAAACGGGTCACAGGTGGATGTGGAAGGTCTGTGCTGCCAAGTGCAATAGGACGCTGACCCTGTCCGCCCACTTGGCAGCTGCTTGCCTCTCCCAGCAGCAGGGGCCATAAGGACCCATACCTCTGCTGGTGGTGAGCAACTTAATAGTTCTCCTAATGGCCTACATGCTCTGTGTGCATCCCATGAAATGAGTATGAAAATGGTTCATTACCTGCCAGTGTCACGGGGTCAGGTTTTTCAAAGGTTTTTAGGTACATAAAGTTGCAGGTGGACAGCTAATGATGTTTACAAAAGCACTCGTGTGCCAGATTCTCATGGATTTCAGCGTGGGTTAGGCACATGGAGATAGAGTGTCTTTTAAGCATCCAAGTCCTTTGAGAAGTGGAGTATTTTGCATTTACTGTAGTGTCCTGCAGGGTGCATGAGGCTTATTACTACAGAGCAGCTTGTGTGCTGTAAATCCAGCATACTGGCTTACCCTGCAGTGACTTGTTCGTCTTCCCATAGCTGGTGGAACGAAATCTGCTGTGTACATCCCACATATCTACCATCTGGGCAACAATGCCTATTTGTTTTCTGGAAGCCTTCTCTTGAGTTTACTTTTCTTATTAAGAAGGGAAAAAGAGAGAAAGAGAGAGAGAAAAAGAGAGAGAGAGAGAGAGAGAGAGAGAAAGAGGCATCAGTGTCCAGCACACAGCACATTACCAACTACACTGCCAATTAACGTGCCAGAATTCCCTTGCTCACACATGTTATGTTGTTTTGATGTAACTAAACGACAGTTGCATTCAGCTGCTTCTTTCTACGGAAAAAACATCTTCAAAAGAGCAGATGAGCACGACCCTCTTTTTCGTTTTGTTTCCTATTACTTTAATTGTGCATATATTGAACATATCATCTATCGTGGAAAATTGCTTTCGTCTCTCTAACATCTGCAGGACACTACTGTGGCAAAGACTAGTGCATCTGCTCGCACAGCTTTTGCACTCCCCGTTTGTTATTCCATTTCACACTCACAAATTTCAAACCTGTGTTCCTAAAGTTAGCCTGTAAAACCCACTGAACTCATTGGAAAGTGCAGGTGCTCAGCAACACAGCAGATCAGGCCATTTTTGTCTAGGTGTCTAAATATGCTTTTACTGGCTTAGACATTTGAACTCAGTGTTTTTGCTCTGGGAGCATTAATCTTGCATCTCAAGTGTACACTAAATTCCAGTTTGCTTCCTCTGTCTCAGTCTGTTAAAAATTTTGTTCCATGTTTTTATTAATACCATTCAGCAGTTTTTCCTTGGCTCTTCAGCCACACTGCTTGCTCATTGGTGAGCCCAACATGATCCACAAATAGTGTCCTGTGTGTGTTATTAGATGAATATAACCCTGATGCCAAGGCCAATATTTCTTTTTAATCTCCTTGCATACCATCTTCTGCTCCTTGTAATCCTTGCAAACTAGAAGAGATTCTGGTGTGACCGAAGCGTTGGAAGGTTTGTGCAATTAAGGCTGAGGATAACGTATGCTGTGAGTGGCCCTGCTTAATCCTGTGACTGTCTGTGTGCAGAGCATGCATATCATCTCCGGATGCCGTGGTACACATGTTAACAATGGGAAAAGTACTCAGTGGAAGAATGTAACTTTCTAACTCAGCTGCTGCAGTTGGCAGAGGCCGTTCCTCCCTCAGTCCGCAATTTGTCTTGGTCTTGTGACTGCGTGTGGAAATGCCCCAAATTGTTTTTCTTACATTTTCACCTGCAGGGCTTTAAATGAGAGACAGGAAAAGCATTTCAGCGGTATTTAAATAATGTTTTTCTAATTGCACAAGTTGCTTTAAAAAAAAAAAAAAAAAAAAATGCGTTTTTCAAAACATTGGTTTAAGGATGAAAATATGCTAGATGGAGTGAAGAAGGAGGAAGGAAACAGCACAGTTCCATATGCTGAGATCTTTTTAACCCACTTCCTCGGTGAGCGAGAGCTGGTTTTAGGGGAGTGAAAACAGATTTGAAGGTGCCTCCCTTCAAAGGAGCTGCCTGTTAATCTCTCTAACAAGTGGGAGCCTTTCTGAGAGCCATTGACAGCCTGGAATATCTGCCATGGACAAAGACATTCATGGCAGGGTTCAACCAGTGGTTGAATCCACGTGAACCAGGGAATCTGGGAAAGGATCATGGAGAAAGCTTCTAGCTGGTAGATTTTCAAATCTGAATAAGTAATTCTGTATAAATGCCCAAGTGTCTAAAATCTCACATTTAACATATTCAGAAGAATCTGAATATCTCTCTTTCCCACAGGTAAGTTCCTAGGTTCCCGTGACTTTGTACTGGAATTAGGCTTGCTAGATACTCTAAAAAACAAAAAGGGAAAGAAAAAAAAGAAAAAAATAAAATTGATGCTTCAGAATCAATTTTGTTAATTAGCAAATAACACGTATTTTTTTCCCATAAACTAATGTCCAAAAAATAAAAATAAAATCTGAAGTGCCAAAACAATGAAATGTTGTGCAACAATCAGCTGAGTGCTTATTTTAAGCACAAAATCTTGTGTTTTCACCTGAAAACCAGTGCTCTGGTTTTTGTTGTTGTTAGTTTGTTGCTTGGTTTCAGTTATTTGTTGGTGTCTATTTGGGGATTTTGTTTTGTTTTTATTATTGTTACACAGATTTTCGTTTTTCTTCCTTGCTTGGTAGAAATGGCTTCTTTTGAATCACAAACAGAATATCCCTTCAGCCACCAGTAACTCAAACCCTTGGTAAAACCAGCTCCTGGCTAAATTCATCACAAGCCACAGGTAAGAGGGCAGAAGCTTGCAGTAGTGTAAACATAAACATTGATTTTGTATTTGTACGTGCGCAAGTCGTTTACACATTTGCACCTCAATCCTGTGTGCAAACTAGAGGAAGGATAAAATGTGCCAAAAGCTGTGGAAATTGAACTGGGAGAGTCCTTGCAGATTTATTAAAATAAAACAAAACAACGCTTCTCTAAGTTTTTCCACCCCTGGCTGCATTGTGCATGTCGGGTCAATCCTCTGCTCAAGTCAGTGGGAGCTTGCCTGGTTTCAATGGAAATAGGTTTTGGTCCCTCTGCTGTAAATCCCCTGTTAAGGAGAATCCTACTGATCAGAAGTGACTCATTCAGAAACAGAACTTGTGATCTGTTTGAAAAAAATCCTTTTCCGTATTTAGTACTGCTTAAAATATGTTATTTAAAAAATAGCATAACAGATTATCTCATGAAATACAACTGAAAAGTTCCCTTCTCTTTTGTTTTTTTTTTTTCAAACGCAGCCTTTTCCTCTCTGCCCAGCTCCTCCTACTCAAAAAAAAAAAAAAAAAAAAAAGTGAAGTATACAATAATGCCAGTAATTACGTGTTACGAGATTTTTATTGCCTTGCAATTTATTACAAATGTTTTTGTGGGTGGTACAAAGTATTTGAACAGGTTTTCAAACTAGTCAGAAGCGTATTAAATATTGGTGATTGTTATTACAGGTTGTGTTTTATGGTCTACGGTTGATTTATGGGTACAAAAACAAAAAGTCAGTGCAGTGTGGCTCTCGCAGCCCTCTTCTTGTGGCAACACTTCACAACGCAGAGCAGGCCTCTCCCAGCTGAAGAACAAAAACTTGTCGTTACAGAAGCAGAAACAAAGCATTATGCACACCTTGCTGCTTCCATTACCTCAGGTAGGGTTTGTAGACAGTCAGTATTTCCACAGAGCTGTTTTCAAACTTTCCGTGAATCTAAATGTGAGTAAGAAACCTGAACTGTAGATTTTGGATTCAGGATGTTTTGCTCAACTCGATGTTGAAGATCACTTGCAAAGCAGATGTGGAAATATCTTCCGTAAGAGAAAAGTATTACTGGTTTGATATATTCCCAATTAAAAATCTGTGTGATACATCCAGGGAAAGGCACCAGGCACGTCATGCCTAGCAACTAGAACATAAGGTTACCCAGATTATTTCATGACACAGAGCTCTTACACTGTGCAGCAGTGACTACTAATCAAAAAAGGACTCGTGGATATATTTGCCCTACAGATGTCCTGCAGATACCAGGTTAGCTAGCTGATTTTCTCAGAAGAGCTAGTGCAACCTCCATATCCTGTACCATTTCAAAAATAGATCGTAACATCAACCACACAGTGCCCAGCGACCCCGTTCCCATTCTCTCCTCATTTATTTTATTTTCACCATTGGTCACTCATCAGAAATTGTCCCTGTCCTGATTGCTTTGAGAACAGATAAAAATGAACTGCATCTAACAGCAGAAAATCTTAAATGTGAACAGGATGTTTTCATATGAATAAGAAACATGCTTCTGCCTGGAGCAAGAAGAAAAAAAAGAGAAAAAGAAAAAAAGGAAATTCAAATGCAATAGCTGTTTATGTATGTAAGGATTTTCCTGACCATTTCTTTCCCTACAGCTGAGAGGAAACTGTATCTCCCTGGTAAATTTGAACTGGGTACTTTCTCCACCCTGTTTTCTGATGGAATGTCTTGAGGAAAGAGGCCATGGCTGTTGCACACGCAGAATTGGTATCACCTTTATGCACAGCTTGGTGTGGCTGAGCATGCAGAGCTTACAGATAACCCACTCACTGTCCCAGAGACTGGGCACTGATTTGTCTTCAGCTGCCAGAGGTAGTCGTGACTGGGAAATGAGTCACATCTCCCTCTGCTTCTGTTGTTGAAGCAGAGGGATTACCAAACTAATGAGCTGTAGGGCTGTCTAGGTTTCCCAAAATGCAAGGTCCCAAATTTAAAAAAAAAAAAAAAAAAAAAAAAAAAAAGTCATGGCCTGGGCTTTGGGCCATCTCTATGTACTTGCATTTCAGCCAGCAGCAAAAGGTTTCTGCTTCATTTCAGCCTTCAAAACCCATAGGATTTTTTTTCTCACATTCTCAAAAGCAGTGAATAAGATTGGTATTGCTAAGCATGAAGAAAGAGGTCCAAATGACCCTCTGGACTGACAGGAGAGAGGAAAAATCCCAAGTAGAAATATATTCAAATCCATGGTGGGCTGATGAAGAATAGTCTCATTTTTTATCTGAGTTTCATTCTGGCCCTGAAAGCAAATCCTGTCTAGACCAAGCAAGGATCCTCATGGACTTTTTTTTCTCAGCCCCTTCCTTCCACCATGCTGTGCCTGTCAGTGTAATCCCAGACTCTGCCTAAATGAGAAGATGATGCTACACACACAGCTCTGCCCCAGGTTGCAGACAAGAGAAATATCCTTTATCTTAAGCTATCTTTGGAAAGTATAAAAGGGTTATACCACTGAGAAAGGGAAGTATCATCCTGAATGACAATAGAGGCTTTTATTTATTCATTAGTCGTTGGAGATTTTGGTTGAATAATTCTGTTAGCTGTAAATCTTTGGCACAAGTTTAAAGTCTCTGCAGAATCCATTAAGGCACGAGGCTGTAGCAAAGAGGCAGTTCACTCCTTCTTTAGTCATTTAGCTTCCATTTACATCAATGGAAATTAGATAATTCACACATCTGTTTCTTCTAGCGTGTGCTTGGAGTGCTGAACTTCAGCACTGAAAAGGGCTGATTTATATGGCTAGGCAACTCACCTTCACAAGTGAGGTGCTGTTACAGTGAATAAAATTTGGCAGTCAAAGTGGAGGCACCTAAAATCCTTATTTGTTTTTAATCTGTTTTGTATCTCCATTTGCTTCTCCGTAGGTACAGACGCCCCCCAAAATATGTATTATTCTCTAGGTAAGTTTGCATCTTCCATCTTTTTAACTTCAGATTTAGGGTACATTGATAAATACTCCTTCTCTTAACTTTGAGAAGGGTTTGATTTCCTTCACTATTCCTTGACGTCTCCTAAATGTTTCTTTTCATATTTGGTATTTGCATTTTTCATATTTAATAGTGGAAATATACGTGCCCATACACAACCTTATGCACCCATAATTAAGGCATAGGTGATTACACTTATGGGCTATGAATTTTTTGCTTGCTGAGGTAAAAAAATACACTTTAAAATATAGTTGTCTTTTGTAATATTGATAACACATACATTTCAACATCATATAGACATCACAGAGGTATGTTTAAATTCAACACAACTCAAAAGACAAACAGCTGTTTGAGAATATGTTCTTTTAAAGAATGTATTCTATTGTGATTGGGTGAGCCACCTGCACTTAAATTTCTCATCAGAAATCACTCTTTCTCATCTTTTGATGGTTACGTTGTTGGCCCTTTATTTGCTGTTGTTTTGTTGGTTTGTCTAGACCACTTTCAGACAGTTAACTGCAATGAGGTTTCAGAAATAAATATAATAATTCAGGTGGTGTCAAAGCAGCCTGAGCATCCTGCTCTTGCAAGGTGCAAGTGCTCTGAGGGCGATCTGACTCTTAACTCTGACAACAGAGAAATCACTCCTATCTTCTTTTGGGTGCTAGGGCCTCACAGCACCAATCTCTAATCAACACTGTGGTTGTGAGAATCTTTATCTGCACTGATGTTCCTGCTTAGTCATATCACAGCACACAGCCCTGCCCCAGCAGTGAGCCTTCTCCTTAGGTGCTCAGTGTGTATTTGGGGCAGGGAGTGTGGCCCTATTTTGTATTTTCGTGGACACATATGTAGACATCATCAAGGCAACTTGCTGGGTTGGCTCTTCCTCAGAAATGTGCTCAGCGACCTTTCCAGGCACTAGCTAGGAGAAGCCATCATGATGCTAAATGAGGACTCCATATGCTGAGTACGGGAAGCTACCTAGTATCCTTTAGCTACTGGCCTTTCTCGTGGGATGTGGCTTTTTACTAAGAAAGGCAGAAAGAAAGCAGCCAAGAGGTCCTGATTGGGATGCTGCAAAGGGGAGAGGCTGAGCAGTCATCACTCGTGCCTGAGTGTGTGGAAAAGAGAATGGGCTCACCTGCTCAGCCCAGCCCTTGTGTTCAGAGGAGGGGTGACTAAGTGAGGATTCCATCCTGTTTCAGAAGGGTTGAGCTTTTCAATTCCTTTTAAGAGTACCCACATTTGTGATCATTCTTCTGCTCAAATGTTGTTCCTTGTTCCATCGTGTTGTTAAACTGGAGGTATGGAAATGCCCCTGAAGCCCCAGGGCCGTGCTTGAGACCCACTCAATGTGGAAAGGATGGATGTCTATTGAGGTTCACCACCCTGGAAAGAGGTCAGAGGTGGCCCTGGATCATGAGAAGCACAAGGACAGACTATTTGACTTGAATGTTGGGGTTGGAAGTAAGTGGGATACCATGGATGGAGCCCACTCACAACAGACTGGTGACCTTACACGATGGGACTGAGCCAGGTTGTGACAGATGGTTTCCCTGGATCTGAGACTGGATCCTGGCTCTAACTGTTTAGTTAATTAATTGTGAGGCACATACAAATTAAACTTGGTAAATTTTGAATGTGGTATAAAAGCCTCTGGTTTTGTAGACAGCTTAAATCTGATACTGATGTAAAATGATGAGTGTAATGTAAGTTAATATTAAATTTTAGAGTTTTTCTCCTGGGCCTTGCCTATTGTTTTGCAGGAATAACTCTGAAAGGACACTACTAAAAGATCTGTAACAGAAGTGGTGAGTTTTGTTAGTTAGGCAAAACTGCTGGGATGGTGATGTTACTGGCACTAACAAGTATCTCAGTAAGGTTCAGCTCTAGCTGCTCCTCTGAGTAAAACTGGCTTGGTGAAGTATATTTTTCCATAGCAGTCATTAAAGTATTCTATCTTGTGTCAGTGAGGCTAAAGGTCCAATTTCTGAGGCTGCTTCCTGAACTGTCGTGCACAGTTAAGACAGAAAGAAAAAAAGGCAGAAATACCCACATAACCCCACGGTGATGGACTTCTCTGTGACAGTGGGAGCAGTGGGTCATCTGGGTTCACTGCTGTGCTGTAGGTGCAGGCTGCAGCTTGGGGAAGGGCTTTGATTGCCGGATGTGAGACAGCATTTTGTGAAGTGACTGGAGCAAGGGGAAACTTTGGCTATGAAGACTTTCCTTGCAGACACACCCTCCATGCCAGCCCTTGCAGGGAGTCAATTGTCCCAGCTAACCCTCCAGAGGAATTGCCTCCCCTTTGGTGAGTTTCCAGATACTGCACACACTTTGAAGTGTTGGTTGCTTGCTTGGTTTTTTATCCAAGCAGCACAACAAAAGGAGTTGCCACAGCCCAGTCTCAGGGCAAGAGCCCTATCCCATTCCATGCCTCCTTTCAAGATGTGAGTGAGCCTTCTGCTCCCAGACAGCCTATTTTACCTCCATGGTGGCTTTTTCCAGCAGGTTTCCAGGAATGGGAACAGCTGGAGAAACTGAATGTTATGCTTCATTGATTGGGAAAATTTGCTGTACTGCAATATTAGTACTCACTGCCTGTTGTGGTCACCAAGCACTGTCATCAAAGCGGTTTCAAAAGGCTGGTAAGGAAGTGGGATGCACTGAAGCTCTCACACTTGAGCAATACAAGTCCAGAAGGGTAATGTGGGGAGTATGTTTATCATGTAAACAGTGAACTGTCTGTAAAAAGGGAAGTTTTAAGCAGTGATGGGGATGTGGGAAATGAGAAACCATGAATTAATGAGAAACTCTGTTGAGGCCAAAGTAATTTACTGATTAATCTTGATTTCACTTCTTTTAGTAAGAGTAAAGGGGGACACTCAGGCAAATAAAGATGACGTAGCATTGCATATAAATCTTTTATTGACATGAGTTTTGAGATTATTCATAAATTACAGTAGGAATTTTATGTTTCTCCTGGACAGCTGTTTCAAACATTTCTGAAAATGGAAATCCTCTCCTGTATGTCTACCTGTAAGTCTTCTGTAGAATATTTATGCTTCAGGGGGGATTTTGAAGAATTAAAAAAGTCACTAAAAATACCTGTGCGGTGATGTGATTGGAAGCAACCCAAATTTCCAGTCTGATTTCTTGGGACCTTCCAAGCATAGTAACAGGTTTCTGTAGAAAATCAGGAATCTCCCCTTTCTATTCTGCCAACAAACAGTCCTCAAGGCGATGTAGAAAATTACTTCCTTCTGATATCGGTATTTAATCTGATAGCTTCTTTTTTTTTAATTCCACACAAAATTTCTGGGGAGGATTTCCCCAATTTATGGAAATAATGAGAATAGCAAGATGACAGAAAATAGCTTTAAATTCAGGAACACAAGATACAATTCTACACGCATTTTTTAGTGAACCTTCTGGAAACTGACTGTTGATATGACAAAATGTCCATCACAGACTATATAGATTTTGGGGTTACAACTTGTAGTCCAGATATGTGCCATTTAAAAGAAAAGAGAGTGAGAGAGTGAGTTAGAAAGAAAGAGAAAGGGAGAAATAGAGAGGGAAAGAAAAATGAGAGAAAGAGAGAAGGAAGGGAGGAGGCTGGCAGGAAGGGAGGAAGGGAGGAAGGCAGGCAGGAAGGCAGGAAGGCAGGTAGGAAAGAAGGCAGGAAAGAAGGCAGGAAAGCAGGAAGGAAGGAAGGAAGGAAGGAAGGAAGGAAGGAAGGAAGGAACTTTTTTTACTTTCCAAATGTGAAGTTCTCAAATTAGAATGGTGTATGTTGCTGGCTTATTTACAGGATGGAGATCCATTACCTAGAAAGAGATTGGTGCTTTATACAAAAGATAAACCACCATGGTTTCCAATTGGAAACATCTTTGTGCTCTAATCCTGCCACACTGAAAGATACCAGACTGTTACTATAGCAATGCTATTTTGACACATTGCTTGAGCAAACTGGCCTTCTGATTTGAAAGACCATCCTTCATTCATTATATATGGTTTAGAAAACGAAACTTCACTCTCTAAGTTTGCCAGGAGTAATCAGAGTTTTCTAGGTATACCAAGATATAGATATTTCTAGATATTATAATATATTTCTAGATATAATATAAGATATTTCTAGATATACCAAGATATTTACATGAACAATTTTCAATAGAAGGAGCCAAATCTCATAAAGTACTGCAAGTTGCATCTGTATCCAGAACAGGAGTTCATATAAATTCACTTCCACATGCTTTACCTGCTGTGTTTTCTCATGCTTATTTCTTATTCTTGTTCATTTTTTGCTCAGCTTAAGAACAGGATGCCTAAATAAATGCTTTCTGTTACATCATCTATATAATTAAATTAGCATACAGTATTGGGCCCTGTGTTTCTGAAGCACATTACCATGGTTTCAGTAGACCTCATGGAAAGATGAGTTAGAAGAATTATCTGGCTGTTTGACCAACTAATTCAAAAAAGAAAAATGGAGAAAATAGGAGTAAACTTCTGTCTGTAGATCATCTTGATGAACTCCAGGATAAAGGAGAAGTAGGGAAGAAATTTTCTCAGAATTATTTCCCTGATCCTGCCTGAGTGAGAGGTAGGAAAGCTTTCACATAGAGAACAGGAAAGAGGGGAAGTACAAAAACCAGCAATTCTCACGTCTTCCAGATTTCTGTAGGTGAAGAGAATAACAGCCACTGTAGTAATTGTATTGTAAGGCGTGTTGAGTCACGATGGCAGAGCACAGTCAATACCAGATTCTGCATCCCACAAGATATCTTAGGGCCTTCTGACTGCTCTGTACTTGAGCCAATACTATTATGATGTTAAATTAAAAGTTAATCTATCAGCTTCATCTTCCAAAGGCAATTCTCCATTTAAAGATTTGGCCTTCAAGATGAGAGTAAGGCAAAGTCTCCCATATGCAGGTAGATTTAATTATTCTGCTGCATGCTTATGGAGAAATCAGGGCATGTTTAGCTCATGTGTAATTGCCATGCATACATTGTTTCTAGAGTGTTGAGGGACGTGGTTTAGTGGGAGCTATTGGTAATAGGTGAACGGTTGGACTGGATGATCTTTTAGGTCTTTTCCAACCTTGGTGATTCTATGATTCTATGATTCTAGAGTGCAGCTGGCTTGCATTTGACAGCTCAACACATGGGAAAAAGAAATATTTTGTTGCATCTGTCCCTCTGGATTTGGTTCTGTTGCTTTTATGTGTTGCAGTGTAAGGTAAGTTTTGCAGTATTACTGTAAAAATCAGGGTTCAAGAAACGAGAAAACTTAGGGAGGCAGGGAGTGCTGTATCATGAATGTTGTTCCTGTAGTATAGCTTGTACTTTATGACTGAATGATTAATTCCTTGAAGTTAGCCATTTCATGTGATCTAATAGTGCAGAGGTAATGCACTAAAAAGGTAGAAGCACGTGAGAGGTGACGTTCACCTCCAGATTGCATCACATGAGATAAAAGCAGCCATTTGAAAAATAAGTTTTTTCCAACACAGAAGAGGAAACGAGGGAGTTTTAAAAACTAAAAGTCTACACAGTTTGATATACTTCTGAAACTATTCTGAACACTAATAGATGAGACGTGCCCACGGCGTTGATAATTCCTATCAAACTCTACACCCAAACATTTTTAACTTCCCAGGTGACACAGATTGCCTGGCCATGTTCCAGAGCATCAGAGCTCACAGCGTTTCACATCTAGTACTGCAGTTCTGATGCTGTGTGTGTAAGCCAAGAGAGCAATTTCTGCATGTAAATCCTGCTTGGGTCGAGGTCCTGTCTGAGTTCAGAGACTAAAATTTCAGTCCAGATTTGTTTACTTTGAAATCTTGCCGGATCTCTATTGTTTGTTATATTCTCTATGCCTTTTAATGCAAGAGCTTAGTGCCTGTAATAAATTCACAGGAGACCACAAGGAGCTTCTTGCTAATTTTTCACCACCTAATTGAAAATAAAGTCGAGAGGTTTCTTGTATTTCCATGATGCTGATGGAGAAGTGGTGTCCCTGAGACTCATAAAAATGTACTATCTGTATCACGTTTTATAACAGTAAAAATTCTGGTTGGGAAAACCATCCCCATGTTCCAGCCCCTTCCTGCTAATGGCTCCCATTAGGTGATTCTATCATTATACTTACTGGATCAAGTTAATGTGAAAGCTCTGATAATCCCTCTGTCTAGTCCAAGAAAGACCTAAATACTTCTCTAGACTTCCAAAGAGAAATTTAGAAGACTAAGTAGAACTGTGAAAATATCTAACCATTTTTTGTATGGCAGGTCTTTTGTAGACCCCTAAAAAATGACGAGCAGTGTGATGGTAACAATATAAAAACTTCGTTTCCATTGATATTTCTACCATCAGATCAAAGCATCACAATATTTCTCCTGGTATCAAATTGGAAGGAGGTTCTGTTTCCATCAGGGGCTGAGAACTAAAAATACATAGAGCCTAAACCTAGCAGCCCCATTCAGCATCTGCATTTTGCATGGTTCCTCCACTACAGAGTGCTATTGGGTTCTTATTATCCTCCTGATTGTCACAGACACGCAGAAACACATCCCATGGGGCTGTGTGCATGGACGTGTCTTCAATAGGACTTTTCATACAACAGTCCTCCACATGAGCAATCTGTCAGAGTGAGGCTCTTTTGCTCTAGTTCATATGTTCTTGAAATCCAGAGGGGGGTCTGATTTCATGGGTCCAGCAGAGGTTTCTCACAAAAAAAAAAGAAAAAAAAAAGAAAAAAAAAGAAGCATTTTCAAGATATTCAGAACCACAAATCCAGCCCCCATTGAATTTTGGTTTCCCTTACAGGTCGTTATTGTTTTCAACACTTTATGGCAGCGCTGGCCAAAATCAATCTTTTACAACTTCACTTCCTACTTATACTAAAAGAAAAAGGTTGGGGCACTTAATTAGAGCTATTTATATTTTCAAAATGAGGAAGACATTCTGAAAAAGAAATTGTTTTTGCAGCCAATTCAGGGACCTTCTGTCTACAAAATCTGCTCTGGACACTTTCCCACCGCAACTTTCTTTCCATTATTAGGAACTTACACCATGTTGTATTTGACTTGGTGTTTTGCCAGAAAATGTTCTTTAGGTCTCTATAGTACAAAATCTGACAGAAAGCATAACACAAGGAAAAAAAAAAAAAAAAAGGTATTTTTAAGTCCCTACTTTTTTCCATTTTCCCATCAGAATTTTTTTTAAAATATATTAGTAATATAAATCCATCTCTGTTCCAGTTTTTGCTGTAGTTATTTATACCCTTTAAATATGATCCATGTAGAGAAGTCCAAAGTTATTAAATTTGTTCAGATAGTCCTTCAATCTATTCAGGAGCTGAGTGTACCTGGCACAAGCACCGAGTATTTCCTTTAGGTTTCTGAGCTAGAAGCAAGACTTGAGGTAAATGATTTTCTGCTATGATAATGATGATACTACCAGACGTCCTGAGTGGAAAAGGCCAGGGAGGTTCCGATTCTGACTCACGTTCTGATATTGTCTCTTTCTTTTTTAACCTAGGAAAACTCAGCTCAGATTCCGTCTGTGGTTTTCACCAAGAATACTGCTTTTCCCTTCTTCCCGCACAACTTTCCAGCCAGATTGACTGAACTGCAGAAAGGTCAGATGACTTACTTGGAGGGTAAGCTATGAGTCAGGAGCACAGCTAGCATTGAATCAAATCCTTTCCTGTCTTCCAGTCCAGCCGCTAGACAGCACACAATTGCTTTCATTGACCAGAGAGCTCTAATGAAGTCAGCATTAGCTAGCGTGAGTCTCTGAACAGTGTTAGTGTTAGGAGGAGTCCCTGAAAATCAGGCACCTTCCATTGGCAATCAATTTGGTATGTGACAAAGAGCAGACCTCGTGTCCCTTTCTTGACATGCCTTGTGTCCTGTCTGTGCATATTGCCATTTGCACACTTAAGTCACGCAGCTCTGCTCCCATTTGTATCAGGAGCCGTTGTACACAGCTCCATTTGGAGGCTGAACTACAGTCTTTATTCTCAACCTTCTGGTCTTAAGATCTTCAATGAGAGGTTAGCTGCCCCTCCTTTCCAGCTGAGAAGAGGGGAAAAGGCCTATTATTCTTTTTTTGTTATGAGATCACACTTGGGAAACTGTTCAGAAATGCTGGACAAGATAAGCTGAATAGTCCGTTTTGACCTTGTACTCCATCAGTGTTTGGTTTTAGCTGACCTAATATGCATCTGCACAAATGCTAGATGTCTAGAAAATTTCCAAGAAAAATAACTAGAAATTAAGGCTGGAAAGAAGCTTGAGAAAGCATCTATTATATCCTCACCTACGCCAGGATAGGCTTTAGCTACATCATTCCTAGCAGGTCAGTCAGCTTCAGGGACCTTCCAGAGCTACCTGTGATATCACTCACATTGTTAGACATTAAGGAAACCTTTATTGCTTTATTGCTCTCCCTTTTTAAAATGAGAGTGTGGCACTTTCACGTATACGATGTAAATCAACCAAAAAATAGAACCCAGGCCTTTTGGAATGGCATTACAAAGTCAGTAAAAGTCACTTACAGGAGTAAATGTGTCTTCAGCAAGAATTCCCTCGTTCTTGTGGTGCTTCTTCTCTTTGTGCTAAATAATGCCTGTTTCTGCCTTTCACCTATTAAGGTCCTATTTTCAAAGATTTTCTAAGTATTATTCTATGAAACTGCCTGCACATGTGAAGAAAAAGTAATAGGAAAAAGAAATAGTTATCAAATGAGACTGAAGATCTGGCTTTTCAATTTTCCAAAGCCAGGAAGTTTGTACTGAATCATCTGACTCAATTTGCTGTGCTGTGCTGTGCTTCGGTGTTGTAGCTCATAAAGCACACAAGATAACCACTGGTCAGAGATCCTACAGTAACCCAGCAAAATAGGATGAATGGAGAATGACATTCCTGCTATAAATCATCAGCCCTGTATTATAGACAAGACTTGCGAAGCAGGACTATTACAGAATACCAGAAGGAACTTTTTAGAATGTCTCTTCTGCTGATAACTGGCTAGCATCTCAAGAAATACAATAATAACAATAACAATAATAATAAAAACCACCTTTAATATAGAGTCACCACGTAAATTGGAAATGAGAACAACTAATGTTAGATCATCTTTTCCATCCCCCCAACACTGTGGAATTGTTCCCTACAGCGTGTTCCTGAGTGTTTGTCCAGTCTTCTCTGAAGTAGCTTAAGCAACAGTGTTTCCATTGCTTCTCCTTGGAATCCTACCCGACGCTGTAGTAGATCTCGCTAATAGGAAATGTTGCTGTAAAGCATAAATTTTCCTGCTCTCAGTTCCATCTCATTAATCCCACTTATACCTCCTTCTCCCGTCCTAATCAATTCCTTTGCCTTTAAGTGTTTATATCCTCCTAAGACTTATGAGGAATTATCATATCCCACTTAGATATCATCCAGCCAAGATACTGCAAAGCCCATTCCCTTCATTTTCCTTCAGCCCACATCTAAGCCTTGGATCATTTTTTCCCCTCTCTGAAGTCCCTTCAGATTGTCATCGAGTTGCCCTCAATTTGAGCTGAAGAGAGGTCTGGTCCCTATACTGCAGCCGGAGACACAGAGATCGGGTTTCCAGAACGCTAGCAATCCCCAGCTTGCCGCAAAGTCAGATGGAGACGAGTGGCCACGGAGACCACTCAGGAAGAAAAAGGAAATAAAGAAGAGTGACAGTTTGCAGGGGAAGAGTCATGTGAAACATCAGCAGAGCAGCATCAGCGGTGGCACAGAGGGAAAAGCCCCACTCCAGAAGTGCCCCCAGATGGTCACGCGCCAATGTCCGCGACCTCGTGAGCAGCAGCAACTCAGGTTAAGCGTGTGCTTTGCAGATGGACAAAGCCCAGTCTGTGTACAGGTTTTTTCCTTGTGGCTGTAAAATTCAGAGGTGGGAGAGAAACCTGGGCTGTATCATAGACTGCCGGTGGTCCGCCCCCTCCACCCAGCACTGCAGACCGTCCAAAACATTGTCATTGCACCCCAGAAGGCAAGCAGGCCTGGGACAGATCCAGAACGGATTACAACATAATCCAATTCACAGGGAGGGGTATTTTTGAAAGAGGATTATGTGTTTTGTTTTTTTGTTTTTTTTTTCCCCTTCTGGCTGCCTTCCAGAAAATAAATAAATGCTGTAATTCTCATGTAATGTTTTTAGAAGGCATGGCGATGGAAAGAGAAGGCTCTTTTCCATGTCCATGTTAGAGAGCGGGAGGAAGAAAGCTGATTTTTTGCAGCAGTGTGCCAAGCAATCTCAGGATATGCGAGTCAGAAATGCTGGTGTTTCCCACTGCGCATTCAAGAACAGCATGAAACTGAAGAAAACGGTGCTGCATTTCTAATCAGAACAATGTAATACGGGTGTTGGGTCTGCATCCCAGCATCAAAAGGCCTCCTCCTGAACCCTTTATGACCCTCAGAGAGGTTTGCATAATTATCTTGATTAAAGGCACAGCACAATTTTAGTACCAAAGCCCACAAATTACCAAGGCCCGCATGTTTTGCAAAATAATACTGTTCATGTGATTATTTGTTTTGCTCTAATCATTTCTGAAATATTACTCCATTGCTTAGATTTGAATTGCTAGCTGTAACAGATAGCCAGTTTGCAAATAAAATATAAGTCCCTACAAAACTGTTCCCATTGCATGAGAAAATGTTATTGGATTTCCCTGGCGTTACAGTGCTGAGCTTGGTTATTTGTATTAAGGGGTACAACTGAATAAGGCCTGAAGCAAAAGTGTTTTCCAGTCTTGTGTGCTGTCATTTCACTGGGCCTTCTTTGGGCTTTGCTTTCATCATTTTGAGTTTAGTAAGTTAATCTCTGATTTTCAGGGTGGGAAACGCAATAGAAACCAGACTAAGGATACAGGATAATAGGTAGCTGGACTTCCATACCCAGGGAGAATTGGGTCTTTCTGCAGAGAGCACTCTGGGTTCTGCTTTCTTTCAGGTACCCATGGGGTGCACGTGGGATCTTTAATGAAGGGAACCACTATCCCAGTTCTCCCTGGGAGGAGAGGTGGGACGGCGGAGCACTGGAACAGGCTGCCCAGGGAGGTTGTGGAGTCTCCTTCTCTGGATATATTCAAGACCCTCCTGGAAACCTACTTGTGTGACCTGCTGTAGGGAACCTGCTTTGGCAGGGGGGTTGGACTTGATGATATCTGGAGGTCCCTTCCAAGCCCTACGTTTCTGTGATTCTATGATTCTGGGTCACCAAGGGTGGAAACCTTGGTGCAGGCAGTGCACCCCAAAGCATGGCCAGAGAGGAAATACCTGCCAGTTGAGGTCAACTATAGGCAGCCAGCCCTTCAAGCAGGTGACTCAGCTACCTCCTGCATGCTAAAAGCAGTCTGTCTTGTTGTTTTCTCCCTACTCGCACAAGAGGCAGTAATTTCTCACTGCCTGAGGGTGGAGGTCAGAAGAATGCTCAGAATGTCCCAGGCCCAGACGGAGAGCTTTTTTTATAGGATCCTTTTCCTCTGCCAAGCACCATTTTTCCACACAGCTTTGGTATGGGGTGGCTGTGGGTCCCTGCTCATCCACAGGCCTATTTTGGCTCTTTTCCTGACATGTTCTCCACCTTTCAGTCGATGAAAAAAAATGAAATCAGGCAAGCGCTCTGAATGAACATGGTCCAGTTCATGTGTATGCTTAGCTGTGTCAGGCTGAGTTTGCATCTAGCTTCTCCTCTGTCTGGCCCCTGGTTGCTTCCAGACCCTTGTCCACATGGTGCCTACAGCCCTCGCTGTCAGCTGTCCTGCTGCACAGATTTCTGCAACCCTCTGCTGTTAGCACACCCTCATTGCTGCAGAAAGATCTCAACTTAAGACCTTCATGTGTTAAACGAAATTAAGGAAGTTGCAAAATCTGTTGGTACAATAATAACAGTGGGTGTTCTTACAGAAACCAGTATAAGCTGGTTGAATGGCACATCTGGGATGGTTTTAAGAAGAAACTTGATTAATACCACAGATGACTGCTATTTAAAGCCGTTTTGATGCGTATTTGAGGGAGGTTCAGTTTACCCCTAAGAAAAAAGCAGGAGTTAATACAGACAGTGAGTGTACATGATCCCCTGGGCAGTGCTGATCGCTGCCCGTTTAGATCAGATATTTTAAAAGTAGGGAACTTGGTTAGAATAAATAGGAAAAAGTTCCAGCATGGCAAAAAGTGCAGGAGAACAGCAGCAAATCCCTCCCCTCTCAGATAAGAGATTTAACCTGAAGGTTTGGTGAGAAAGTATCAATTGGAAAGCAAAAGAGTGTGAATCTGCTGCAGCCCACTCTAAAAGGCTAACATACAAACAAAATATCTTGCCCAAATGAATTTGCATACAGTGATTACAAAGTGAGATTTAGTTTGAGAATGAAGTGGGCTGTGACAGCAGGTAAAAATCTGAGGGGACATGAGGATCAGAGCACAGTGATAAAAGCTGCTTGTTGAAGGCCATGTATGCCAGCTGAGTGCCCATAAAGAAGAATTTTGGAGCAGATAAATACATCTGGTTGGTCCTGGTTCCAGCGCTCCCATTGCAGAGATAGTCAGGGTTGAAGACAACGGCTGGAGGAACTTGGAACGACACTTCAGTAAAGCAGTGGGACCCCAGAGTACTCATGCGAAGGAAGTGAAGTGTGAAATATGTGGGATGCTGGCGCAGAGATGTTTTCTAAGTAATAAAATATAGCTGTTATTAACCAGCACTGGAAAACCCACACAGTGGCTATTTGTAAGAGTGGATCCTAGGAAGAAATCTTTCTCTTCACAGGGATAAACTTCACATTTACCCTTGGGGAAGGAGGAGGGCATTAGCAGTAGAGTGATGGACCGCATAGGAGGTTCAGCTGTGCTCTGTGCTGAAAGATCCTGAGCCAAGTACCTTGTGTTCAGCAGTACAAGAGGAGGAGTGGCAAATCCTCCATAACACACTCAAACTTCTAAGCTGCCTGGTGGCAATGGGTGCGTTCAGCAGGGAAAAGTATTGGATCTTCCCTCCGTAAGGGTTAGATCAGTGCAGCCTTTGGGACACACAGATATTAGGCAGTGCCCAATTCAGCATACTGAGTAGTTACAGCACCATATGGGAAGCAATGATACTGCAGCAATAGGTGCAGTGAACTGCACTGTGATCAGCAGATGCAGCTCCTTCAGCTTTAATGGGCTTACTGCAGTTTCACACCAAATGAAGTGAAATGATGTAGTGATACAGTACGTCTGTATTAAGCAATGAAAGACTTGAATGTATGTGATACTTTCTTTTCATTTCGCTCTCTTTTCTTCTTTCCATTAAAATACCTGCATGTGCTGTGCTGAGACTTGTTTTATTCCTATCAGCGGTTGCTGCTCTATTTGCTGTGAGATGCATGTGGGTTCCTATGCCAGAAACAGGCATGGCACAGCTCTGACTGGGAGCTCTGTCAGCTCTTCTCTGAGGAATTTCACAGCAGTTTTGGACACATTTATCTTCACTGAGAGTTGAAGGGAAAAAACAACAATAACAACAACAAAAAAGCATCATGTGTGCACAGAAAAGACAATTTTTCCAAACTTGATTAATCTCACATTGCCCTCACTGTGCAGACCCCAGCTCCTGCAAATGGAGTGGAGCTGAGGAAAAAAGAAATGCGAGGAAACCAAGCTGAGAATCAGTGGAGGAAATGAGGAGGCAACAAGCTAGGGAGAGTGGAGCAGTGATGGGTAGGCAGGCTGTGGTAGCAGCACTGCTTTTAGGAAGGAAGAAAGCTGGGGGAAATATTCCTTTGCAGATAAAAAAAGACCCCAGGATGTGGAGCTGTGCTGACTTTCCTCAGCATGAGAACATGCTCTTCACATATCTGTGTACCGAGCCAATCCCTTGCCTGAAAGACAGGGAGGAAAATGGTGTTAATCAGGAAGACAGGGAGCAAAATGGAGCAAGGTGAGTAGGGAAGATGAGAAGCAACAGAGAAGGTAAGGGCTGAAGAAAGCAGCAAGAAGTCATTCCATGGTCCTCCTCCTTCTTTTGCCTCCTGCCTGGCTGTGGCTGGAGCACATCTGATGTGTAGGCAGCTCTCAGGGCCCAGGAATTTGTACGGCCTCGATATTTGCAAGTTAGTAGGGATGCTTTTGTCTCGCCAGTATGAGAAACAGCCTGAAAGAGTTCAGGCCTGGAAGGCAGTCATATATTTGGGAAATTGTCTTTGGAGTTGACTGTATGGTCCAATATAACTTTAAAGAGGACAGTATGCTATTGCTTTACTTTTTTTTTGGCCATGGCTAAACAAAGAAAATACGTTGCAAATATAAGAGGTATCTACTTTCAGCTTTGCAGGCTTAAAAAGACTGATCGTCTGGATAAAAATCAAAGTTTGGGATTTCATATTCCTGTAGGCTGCTTGGATGAAACATGAAAAAGAGTTGCCTTTAAAAAGTCCTTTGTGCAGAAAGACGTTGCTGACTCCTCCAGCTGCCCTTGCAGCTGATAGCTGCCTGTCAGTTTGAAGTCAAGTGGAGTCTGAGGGGGTAAGGAGATGTGATGTGCTCACAGGAAGCAGAGCAGTTTCACTGTGAGAACGTCTGCTCTGCTTCTTCCTCTTTGCCACATTGTCCTTCCTCTGGAGCTCACTGATTCTGCATCATCATTTCGGTTTCATGTACTTCTGCCAGACCGCATGATCTGTCAGATCACTTGATTTGGTGAACAAAGGCAGAAAATGGGAAGCTTGATTGCAGTACACGAAAATGGGAAGATGGTCATTGCACTAGTGATGCCCTTGTGAGTCTTGGAGAACCCATGACGTGGGACAGCAGCATGAGAATCATTGCTGCAGTCACCTGGATAGACACAGCATCCGTGCAACAGCAAGGGCCAGGGCACACACCTCTGTACAGCTGCAGAAGGGAAAATGAAGCATTTGTTCTGCTCTGAGCAACAGACAGGGTCAGCAGAGGTGGTGTGGGCCTGCCTAAAAAGATTTTTTGGGTTTTTTTCAAACATTTTAGTCTGTTCTGTAGTACCATCACCAGTAACTTGCCTTTGTATGTAGCAGCACGCAGCATTGCACTTACCCCAGAGTGATCCTTAATCCTGACATTATTCTCTAATATGTCAAATGCTGCTAGGAAGCTGGTCCTCAGTGGGAACTAGCTGTGTGGAAGGTTTCAGCTCTTTGAGTTTAGCTGTTTTTAATTATCCACATAGATAAGTGTAGACATTTATTTTCTTTGAACTAGAAAAGGTTTATTTTCTATTTTTAACCCCTGAAGACAGCTGACTATTCCAAATGAAACTCCTTGGTCCAGAAATAGCCTTTTATTAATTTATTTCTGTCCTATGAGGACCAAACATAGTTCCTTAGGAATCAAGCATTAACCCATACTTACTCAGTTCAGCTTGATCATATTCAGACCAGTTTTACGTAGATTAGTAAGAACATAATATTTCAGTGGGGCACTGAGCAGTTGCAGCTGTCTTTTAGGAGGGAATCCTGCAGCATGACTCACAAACCAAGGCACAGTGTGATTCTTTTCTGGATACATGCTGCTCAACAGGTATGAGGGTGATGAGATCTGCTTCAAAACAAACACGTATGACCAATTTTCTGAAAGGGCTCAGCGTGTTACCATTAATGTCACAATGGGGAGAGGCTGCGTGCTAAGGGCTTTACAGAAATTTGGCCCTTGTTTGGATGTGAATGGGGAATCGAGCTCTTCAAAAAATCTGGTGGCAATTGTGGGTGCTGAGTACTTAGGAAGTGGTGGTGGTCTTGAAGTATTGCTGCCATTATTCCCTGATTTACACCCCTGTCAGCCATTGGTTTTCAGCAGAGTTGCACCCTCCTACGACTGGAGTGGCACTCAGGCTGTGGGTTCCTGCTGGCATTTACAAGTCAGAGCATGTATAGATGGCTTTTATATTTTATTTTATTTTATTTTATTTTATTTTATTTTATTTTATTTTATTTTATTTTATTTCAGAAAACGTTTTTGAAACGTATCCCTTTTGCCTGAATCTGGACCGCTGCTGACTGACTGCCAGCTCCCAGATTAAATATAAGTCATTATGGAATGTTTTCCTCACATGGGAAAGACTGGAGTGGCATGGTGTTAGTTTTACCCTCCAACATTAATTCTAATTACCTCAAAATGCAAACATGTTTGAGTTTCCAGCAGATGACATTATTTTCTCTTTGACATTAGACATCAAAGGAAGAAAAATAAACACGGGACAGTGACAGCATTAGGCCTCTAGTCATTTTTCAGAAGGTTTTTCATGTTCTATTCCAGACTGATTCTTCTTTAAGTCTTGTCTTGGACATTAGGGAGGGGAAAGGTTTACAGACTCAGAGACTGATGGCATCTTTTCCCTTCCAGTTCTTTCTAAATAAGAGAGTAAGACGGGGGGAGAACAGAAACAGTCTGGTTTAGATCAGGGTTGGAGTCTTGGTTTTTCAGAGACTCACACACAGACACACACACCCCAATACTTTGGTTATTTTCTCAAATTTATTTTTAACTTTCCTTCTGAAAGCTCATGGATGGTACTGCTGAATTTCAAAACTGCGATAATTCAAAGAGACCAGAAATTTGAGGAATATGGAATATTTTTCCTCTGCCCAACAAACAAACATTAGAGCAGAACCTGAAAGCTTTGCAGATGCTTGCTACTCTCTGAGCATTGCTGCTCAGTCAGGTGTCTCTGATGCTAAAAAGTGATGTTCCTAGGTGTCCTCTCCACAGAGCACCAATCTGTCAGGCCATTCCAGCCCGCAGGATGTGAAAATAGACTGACCAGTGAAGCTGCCTCTCCTCCTGTTTTCAAGGCTTGGGATGTGCTAGCTTTCACTTCCATGGCTTTTGTGAAGCCCTGGTGCTAGCAGCCCTAGGTTGCCCTTCAGTTGCCACACATCATGCTGGGCCCTGTCCTACAGACAAGCTCTGCTTGCGCCTACTTTAAACACTGAGTCTGGAGCTCATGCTTGAGCTTCTCTGCATCTGTAAAATGGGAATTATGTGCCTGTTCAGCCTGACAGCATGTGAAGAAGACACTGCCCTGTGATTAGAGATCCTGTCAGCATTCTAATGACGCAGGCTGTAGAAAAGTCTCTATACTAGGAATCAAATCAGGGGTCACTTCCTAGGGACTGGGATGCCAAAGTGTCTTGCAGAACATGGCTAAAGTGACCCAGCACTTTACAGGGTGCTGCAGGCAGCCCGTCTGTGCCACTTGTATCTCACTCTCAGCCCTAAGTTTTACTCCAGTGTTACAGCAAGGCTGAGATGGCACAGCCTGAGGGAGCTGCAGCCATAGCAGGGCTCTGGCCTGTTCAGCAGGCTCTGGAAAAATGCTTATTCTGCCACATGGGGAAGGGAGCAGAGCTGAGCAACGCCTCCCCACCAACCGAAAGAATTTTAAAAGTGTAGAAACAGATTCATTTTCAGTTAATAAATAGCAACAAACAAATAAATAAATAAGTGCCTACCCCCACAGTCATTGCCTGCGGTGCGAGCGCCAGTGTTTTGAAGTGCTCTCATTGGGACGCCACAAATGTTTGTAATAAAGCTGACTTGCAAATCTTGGGCTGGAGCCTCTGGGCGGCTCAGCCAGTTTCACACCCATCTTTCTGAGCCGTTTTCCTTCACTTCATGCCTAGGCCCCTGGGGGCCCAGCAGGGCTGCAGGCAGGGTAGCTGGGCCAATGGGCAGCATCCAGCCCACCTCGAGCCCTCCAGGATGTATTTCTTTCTGTACTGAGCTGGCTGAGGACAGCAGGCAGATAGCAGGGTCAGAGGATGCAGTTAGATTGGTTTTGCTTCTCTCCTCTGGTCTGGCGGTGAACAGGACTGTAATGCAGGAGCCACCAAGCTGAACTTTTTCTCAGGGGTTTTTAGACACCATGCAGTACCTGGAAACATCACGGCAATGCTCCTTCTGCCAGGAAGCATCCTGAGGAGGACCATGGGCCCCTTCACCAGAGCTAGACAGAAAATTTTTGATTGAGGAGCATGCTAAAGCATGGCCATTTTCCAAAATAGCCAACAGAGATGCTGGGAGAGATCTAGCAAGACACAGCTTGCAGGGCTCATTGGAAAAAGAGAGGTCTGAAAACCTGCTCTGCACAAGTCAGCATTTCTATTGGGTCACTCAGAAACAAACATACTTAGAATCAGGCTTCACATGGAAATCTGAACCTTCTTGAGTGCTGGTATTGGGAACAGCTCTGCATGCTGGTGGAGCAAACCAGCCCTCATTGGGCATAGTGCATCATCTGAAGATACATTTTCAAAATTAGGTATCCAAAATGTCCTTATATGTGGATTTCATTACTTTCCATCTGTACAAGACCAGGTTTTTGTAAGGGAATGGACAATTGCCTGAGGAGAAATGGTGGTGGAGTACATGAGTATCCTTTTTCACACACATCAGTGCATATTTGGTATATGAGGTGGTGCTTACACAGTTTTCCTTTCACTGTTCAGACAGCCAGTTATTAAATGTGGCCTGTGGTGTTTCTGTTTCTTTGATGTTTTCAAATGAGATCTAGTTATTTAACATGGCTATTGTACCTAATTCTCTGCTAAGTCCATCTCACAGCTTCAGAGGAAATCTGGATCAGGTTTTATTTTGTCCAACCTATTTTACCCCTCTCTAATTTAAATGGAAAGGAAACTGTATCCTCTGGTAAAATTACATTCACAACATTGTGTTTATGACGTGAGAGATCCTCTTGCTGCAGAAATGCACAGTTCTTCCTTTCCTGTTAAAAGAGTCTACTGACCTCTAGAAGCATTGGGTCAATGAAGAGCGTGTGAGTTCTGGTCAATTCTGGATGATGGTAGTCAAGAGGACACATTTAGAATCAGTCTGGTACTTCACCCAGGGTCATAAAACAAGACCAAAGATCACAGAATGTTTGGAGATGGAAGGAACTTCAAAGCT